CGAAGACAAGCAGGCCGCGCTGCTGGCGAAGGTGTTTGAGGGGGATTCCCGAACGCCTTCGTGCCCGGCTTGCGGGGTGAAGCTGGTGGCGCGGAATGGGAAGAGTGGGGCGTTTTGGGGGTGTAGCAATTTCCCTAAGTGTTGGAATCGATTGGAGATGAAGCACGGCGTGTCTATGTAGTCGCGTTTTGGTTGAGTCAGTGCTCTAGGGATGGAGCTGCGATAAGCAGTTAGTACTTCCAAAAAATCTGCAAGGGAAAAGACAAGTTTGAAAAACGGGGGAAGGAATGAAAACTGAATTGCCAAATGAACACGGTCTTTCTGACGGCTCCTTACGGCACTTGTTGTTTTATCAAGATGGGAAACCCTCTCTCAGCGATATCCAGCATCAAGGTCTCGTAGCCGGGGTGGCTCGCGACACAAGCATGTTGGTTGTGTCACCGACTTCCACCGGGAAAACGCAGCTCGCGGTCTGGGCGATTGCCAAGGGTATTGAGAATGACTGTAGAACAGTTTACTTGGTAACCCATCGGGCTTTAGCAAAGCAGAAGTTTGACGATTTCAAATCGCTGTTCTTATCAAATTTTCTGTCTGGCAACCCCGCTTCATTAGTGCTCGCAACCGGCGATAGCGTTGAGGATTCTGAGGGAGAGTTCCCCCCGGAACCTCTGAAAGCATCGCTCTTAGTGGCGACCTATGAGAAATATCTTGCCATGTTGTCTGCTAGCGGCGTTCCCCGGGACATGAGCAATACAGTAGTTGTGTGCGACGAGATTCAGCTCATTGGAGACAAGAATCGTGGCCAGAACGTCGAGATATTGCTAACTCTTCTTCGCAATGCGGGTTGGCGTCAATTTGTTGGGTTATCTGCAGTTTTGCCTTCCCGCGATGCACACGATTTGGCTGACTGGCTGGGCGTGCAACTAATTATGAAGGCAACCCGCGAAAAGCATCTTAGCTATGAATGTTGGTCAGATGGAAAAGTGGCGCAAGTTAAGACAGGTAGCCCCGAAGTAATTAATGAATCAACTTTGCCGTCTACCTCGTCTAGTGGAGTCGTGTCAGCGTTGAAGTTGTTGCTTTCCGGAAAAAAACCACCCGTACCTATCATTGTGTTTTGTATGAAAAAACAGGACACCTATGATCTAGCCGAGAACTTCGTTAAGGCCGTACACGGTACAAGCCATGGACAATTGTCGCTAGCGTTTGATGGTTTGCCAGAGACAAGTGCCAACACTTTCCTCTCGGGAATTCTTGGATATAGGGTAGCAAGTCATAGTGCGGATTTGACTGACGAAGAGCGTCAGATAGTTGAACGCCACCTCGCGGAGGGGAAGCTAGACGTAATCTTCGCAACGAGTACGCTTGCAGCAGGCGTTAACTTCCCTCTTGGCGCCGCGGTATTTGCTAGCTGGGCGCGGTGGGACAAGGACCGGGGCGAACACATCCCTATTCCGACCAGCGAGTTTCATAACATGGCTGGCCGGGTTGGAAGAATGGGCTTCCAACATGATGAGGGTCGTGTGATCTTCTTCGCTAATAGCCAGGAACTGCGGCACGCTCGAACTTATCTTGAGCTCGGCGCGTTGCCCCAGATCGAACCGCGAATACAGCCTGATCGTTTTAACCAGCTGGCTCTTCAACTTGTTGCTTCGGGACTCTGTAGAGATCGCGACGAGGTGGTGCGGGTGATTTGCGAATCCTTTAGTGCTCTGCGAGAGCAGGATCGCAACAGCATCGCATTTCAGGCATGGCCGAGGAAAGTGGGCGAGGCCGTGGACGGCGCGATAGCAAGTGG